GCCTGCGTCGCCACTTGCCCACCTTCCCTTCCGAGCCTTGAGGCAGTGACCTGCTTCATGACCTCTTTGTGGGTGTGCTGCCAGCCGGGTGCCAATGCTTTTCCTTTGACTCAGACTGACAGTGGCTGAGTTGCCCAACAGCTGACCTTTTCCGCCTTGTGAGTCGCAGTTTGGGCCCTGTTGAAGTCATGGCCCCCAACAAAGAATCGGTCATGTTGTGTTCACGTGTGGAGTGCGTAAATCGAGTCTCGCAGGACACTTGCAGGTTTCATGGTGTAAGGGAAGTGCGTATTATTTACACACACACATTTGTTCTATGTCTATATACATAACATTTGTTCTATGTCTATATACATATACATATATATAATGCTAACCCCCCCCCGACCAAGGTGTTGGCCCCTTTTACGACGACGGTCACGCGCACGCAAACTCACACGCGCACGCATGCGCACACGCATACGCACCCACACACTCACACCCACCCCTCAGACACTTTGACATTCCTGCATATCCCAAAGGGTGTACAAATGTCCGCCATTTTCGAGAAACCTGCTTTTCAGTGTGATAATCCCATTTCTGCCTCCAAGCGTTTTTTGGGAAGAATTACTTTTTGCAAGATCAAGCTGGTCAACTGAATTTTACCACCGGTGTTTTTGCCAGCAAGGCTTCCTGAACATTCACAAATTTCTCCATCGTCGTTTTTGGGACCAAACGTGTTTTGGCAGCAACGGCGCAAATGAGTGCAACTTCAATCAGCGGCAGAAATTCAGCTCCCCGGGGTCGCCAGGTGCCACACCTTCAACAGCAGTTCAAGGCAGAGAACTCCCAACTTCAGCGGCAGCTCCGCGCCGTAAAGCAAGACGCCGAATCCCCAGTCCTAGCACCTTCAAGAGTACGTGGACCTTCGACAGCACTGCCCGTGGCTCCTTCCCTGTTGTTGACATTCTTTCTCATGCAGGGTTCCCTTCAAACCAGGCGGCCAAAAGCTCATTTCCACCAACGTGGAACCTCACACGAGGTTCCTCAGCTAGGCGACCCTGTGCCTTCCTGGTGTCAGGGAGCGCAGGGGACCCTTCCTAAGCATTCCCAGGGCCAGAAAAGGGCAACACAAGAGGATGTCAAGGCCGGCTCCAGGAGGTTTGGGTTGGACCATCTCCTTATGACCGAGGCCACTGTTGCAGCGGCTCGAGCCAAAAGGCAAAACAAGAGGCGCACACGCACACGAACAAAGCGAACAACGCAACACGAACAGGAGAACCAAGAACCCACCACCGCGATGAGCGAAGCGCCGCGTGGAGGGACCATACCAGGGCAGGAAACCACAACCCGCGAGGCGCATAAGAGCGAAGCTCTAAAGTGTCCCACGTGCACATCGGAAGACACCATTTTCACGACCGGCGAACAAGGGGAGTGCATACCTGTTTGCTATGTCTCTTAGACATAGCCACGAAAGTCTTAAGCCGCATCTCTTTAATACGGCAACTTTCTCTTCGTCCCCGTCCCCGCCCCAGCGGTACCACAGGACCGCAACGCGGTATGGTTTTCTTCAGTAGGGAGGGCGGGTGGGAAGAAAACAAATTCAACTCACTGTTTGTTGGCACACCATCATGTCCCTTTGGACCCTCGTGCCAAAATGCCACGACACCCTGTTCAACAGTGAGCCATCAACTATTGAAAACGTCGTGACATGTTCAAAAACCCAGCATGTTAAAAATCCTTCGCACGTTCAAACCTCGTTAGTAGACATGACACAAATGTCAAGTAGGTTCAACATGCTGGCAAAACGTGGCGCCACGACTTGGTGTAAACGTGTTTACACTCTTTCGCGTCAGCAACAGCGCTCAACTTATATCGCTATGGCCAAGTCATAAACAGCCATTGGTGAACCAACAGCAAACTTATGACCGAGGCCACTGTTGCAGCGGCTCGAGCCAAAAGGCAAAACAAGAGGCGCACACGCACACGAACAAAGCGAACAACGCAACACGAACAGGAGAACCAAGAACCCACCACCGCGATGAGCGAAGCGCCGCGTGGAGGGACCATACCAGGGCAGGAAACCACAACCCGCGAGGCGCATAAGAGCGAAGCTCTAAAGTGTCCCACGTGCACATCGGAAGACACCATTTTCACGACCGGCGAACAAGGGGAGTGCATACCTGTTTGCTATGTCTCTTAGACATAGCCACGAAAGTCTTAAGCCGCATCTCTTTAATACGGCAACTTTCTCTTCGTCCCCTTGTCTGCTTCAGTCGACTCTTCAAACTTATAGCATCTCAAATTCTCCCCACTGATGGGGCAAGTGACACACATCTGTGGTTTAGCTCCAAGGCTCACCAAGCAGTCCCAAGAATCTCTGCTGGGTCCATCAGCCACATTGGATTTTGATGGCACTCGGGCGATCCAAGAAAGACACGGTTTGGCAAGATCTATGTCTTCCCAGACTTTAAGGAGTTCACGCCACGTCTTCTTCTTTGCCGAACCTTTGACTGCAGTATCCAGGGCTGCCCAGTTATCGCAAAACAAAATGGCTGACTCGTCATGCAACTCATCGGACCACACGTGTCGCGCAGTGACTAGCGCATACAGTTCAATCAAACCTATCACATGACTGGCACCGTCTGCTCTCATAGCCTCCAACGCCGAGGTAGGAACATCCGCTCCAAACGCTAAAGGAATCCGTGCCGGCTGAAACAAAACTGCACCAATACTGCCACAGCCTTGCCCGCCAGGTCCATCACTTAGCGCTCCATCCACAAAGACTAGCACAGGCCGTGCCTTGTCTCGAATCTTCAAGTCGCGTGGCCTACCCATCTGCAGCCGGTTCATGACAGTACGCACTGCTTGTTCAACTTCTTCCACAACCTTGATTCTGTCGCAGCTCCCGGCCGCCTCCCTCAAGTCACACAGCGCCAGCTTGCCGTGTCTACCGGCAAGTTGCATGTCGGCGAACTGAATGCGACCCAAGATAGGCGGCAGCTCTGAAGTCTCCAAAAAGCCCCGCTCCAAAATCTGTTGCAAAGACTCGCAAATCTCCAAAGTGCGCGACTCTTTGTTCTTGACGCTCACGACCCCGTTTTGCGAATTGCTCACATCAACAACTGTACCAAGAATTTCAGCAGTGTGCTCCCCAGGTTGAAGTTTATCTTCTGCCTGAACCACACCGAACAATCTCAACATGGCAGTAGCTGCTGCGACATTCGAAGAATTCAAGCATGTCGGGCAAATCATCGGGAAATCGTCGAAATAGTTGCCCCATATAATCCTCATGAAAGTGCCAGCTTTCCACAAGAACTTGGCAAATTTGCAAAACCCGAGTACGGACGCTCTTGCTCCGAATGGTAAAGTCAGTGCTCTATAGAGATCCACTTCGCCCATCTTTTGGGCAGGAACTCCAATAACTGCTTTCCATGTATCTGCAGGATGCAAGGGCAGTTGCTTGTAAGCCGACTTCAGGTCGATCGCACCCACACGAAGAGACCAATCCGTTTTGCTCCATCCACTTGAAACTGGGCCAGACAAGATAGCACCATCCGAAAGCGGATATTCGAACGCAGACATGTGTTTGCAATGCCTTACCAGAATGATGCACGCCCAAAGCAACTCGTCCAAAGTTCTAAGCTCGACACGCTCGCAGCATCCGAAGGCATCATTTACCGCACATTGGCTGAAGTCGTCAATAGGTCGGATCTTTCCCCGCTGTACGACATGGAACCTCTTGACCAAAATCCACTTGCCACCAGAGCGCTCCTCAATATCAGGAATCTCAAGCGGTCCTTCAAGCCATCCTTTCGATTCAGCTTCTTCCTTTGTAAGGTCAGAAAGCGCCGCAGTGAATTCGCTCCTGCCATCGCACTTGAGCCGTTCCATGATCAGCGGTTTCAGCAAGCGAGTCCGTGCGAACAATTCGTCCTCGTTCAGGGAAGCAGGTTTGAAGTCTTCCTTGAAAACCCCCGAGAAGGGTGCATCTCCCACAAGCCGAAATCCGTCAGCGAGCTGATCCCACAAAGTAGCGTCAGTCCAACCTATTTGCGCACCCACCTTCTTCATAAGACTGATACGCAAGTGAGCCACGATAGACCGTACATCTTTATGCATGCGAAGCTTCAAATCCTTTTCTGCAGATTCGCACTCAGTCGCCCAACGCTGCCATTGTTGTATGCACTGCAGTCGCCACTTGCAAGTGTCCAGCGGTTCCTTGGTCAGAACCTCAAACAGGGCGCGGACGATCTCGTCAGGCAAAAGAATCATGGTATCATAAGGGTGCCAAAGCTCTTTTGCACGTTCCAAAAACTGTTCCTCCGTCCTGTAAATGCCGAAAACGCACTTGAACCTCCCCGTGTCTGCTTCAGTACGCAAAAGCCGAGCTCCTGCTGGCACAGGTCCACACTCCGCCACCAAACATCGCTTCGCATCAACGGCTGGCGCATCCGGCATATGTACTGTGAGCACCTTGCCATACTCGCTAATAAGCTGAGGTGTTCCTCGCCCTCGAGCCTGCTTGTGCGGGCGTTCACGATGTTTGGCCGAAAAACACCCACATGCATCCACAAATAAACGAGCCAAGGCTGCCGCCAGCTCTTTAGGATATTCTGCTTCCTCTGCCGTACGAAACTGCCCCTTCTCATCCACACCCCATGGACGATGTTCATGGTCGCCCGGACAGAACTTGCTCAACGACTCAAGCCCTGGAACGGTTCCCAAGAATGACGTGAGCTTGGGCCTGCTTCCACCGTAAGCGCACGCATGCAAATCACACATGTGGCCTAAAGACAGCAAACGCGTCATACACGGCAGTTCCCAAAACCAGCTGTTAGTTGGATTCTCAATCGTCCATGGAATGCGAAGAGTCGTCAAAAGTTCACAAAAATCGGCAGTCCCCAAATAGATCTGATTGGCAAGCTCGACACGTTGACGGTGTGAACCTTTCAACCAAGGAAAGCCCATGGCATGCTCGGCCGAACGCAAGGGTGGCGGGCCAAGAGACCCGTCTGCCAATGGAATGCCCCTGGCCTTCGAGCACGTCCCGCACGGAGGGCCGATATGAAAGGCCCGAATCAAACCCTTCTGCGCACACTGCTTCAGGTACGCCCAAGATTCATGCCGAGCTAAATCCAATTGCACCACACGAGCATAAGGCGTGTGTCTGTTGCCAGAGTGATCCAGAGGTACGGCCTGCATGCCCAGTTGCATCACAGAAGAACTCAAAATTGCACTGCCTGCGCAGCCTTCCAAGAAAAATCCAGAACTCGCATTGCACTCTCCTTTGATGCAATTGGCAGTGAAAAACTTGCATGTCCCTTGGCATCTTCGCCAGGGGTGACATGGGCCTTGCCGCCTTCGCGGTGCCTCACGACGACAGTTGTCCCTTCGAGACAGCTGTCATCCCTCCCAGCTTCATGGAGACCATCCTCCCCTTGGGGATAGCCACCACTCGGACCTTTGTCGGCTTTCCGACACGAGTCCAAAAACTCCTCGTCTCGTCGACTGCCACCTTCGCGGCGCGACGACTCTTCGTCATCGCCTTCGTGCCCAACGGCGGTTGCAGGGCCCATCGACCCTGCATCCACTTGTCAGTTTTGCTTCTTGGCTTTTGGACACTCAACAGCTGGATGCTGCTTAAAGCAATCACGCACTGCACAAGCATGTAAACCACGCTCACATTGCTGTCGCGAAACAGGGTTGTCACAACGTCCAAGGTTGTAGCCGAAACACAACCGAGTACCTCGAGTGGTGCATGAGACGCACCCCAGCTCGAGAAGCTGCGGAGGCAAAACAGTTCCCTTGCCCTTTGACTTGCCACCTTTGCCCTTTGCAGGGGCAGAGGGAAACTTCTGCTTCTTTGATGGCGATCCACCTGCTGCATCCCGGGACACCGAACTTCTCGGGCCCTCGGACTTTCCTTGCATGGGCTGCAGCAGGTGCTGTACTTCAGAAGATCGCATAACTTCTTCAAAGACCAAATCGAGCGGTCTGCCACTCACCTTGGCTTTGAGCCCTCCGTTGCACTTTTCTGAAAGGCATGCGAACAGCTTGCGATCCGCGTCCCTCAATTGCGAAATGCTCACACGCAAGTACCCAGCTGGCGGTGTATGCAATCTGGCAGCCATGAGAGCTTCACTCCACTGCTCATGAAACGAAAAATTCAAAAGGTTGGCCTGCTCCATTGCCAAAGCACGACGAGTGAGACAGTAACGGATCAACAGTTCTGTCGATGTGTCCGCCTCTTCCGTCGTCTCGTTCTTCTGGATTTTGAGCATGCCATTCTCAATCTTGAGAGCCGTCTCTTTCTTTCCATGCAACAGTTCACTCTCTCGAGACGTGCATTTATTCCATTCCAGGTAGCGGAGCCTGTCCGCATCGTAAACTCCAACAAAGAAGTCCACTAGCGAGTCAGAAGGCTCAGTCGGCCCTCTTATCGAAACTCCCGCCAGCCTCTTGCGCTGGGATTCCAGCCTCTCTGCCCTTTCTGCAACGGCCAGCTTCCTAGAGCTCAAATCTTCTCCAGATTCAAGCTGCTGCTTAAGTTCGGTCGCCACAATCCCATAGCCTTCGCTGTGGAGGCGCCTCAAGCAAGCCATCTGACCAAGCCCCGGTTCTGCACCGAGGGCTTTTGTCATCACACTGACAAAGTCGGATTCCGTGCCGCCAGGAACATAAGCTGAGCAAAATGCAAACTGAGCAAGAGTCTTGAGGCCAGCTTGCACCAGTTTTTCATGATCTGCCTCCTCTAGGCCAACGGCAAGGCATCTGGCCTTAAACACAGCTGAGCTCTCTGCATAGCTAGCCATGACTCTCGCGCAACCCTTGTTCGAGCATCTCATGCAGAGAACCGACATGTTCGTTCCGTCTTAACGCGGTCGAATTCAACTGCCGACACTTGCAAAATACATGCAAATTGCTCAGCGTCACAGCAACCAACCGCAACCCCGAAACTCTTAAAAAAAAAAAAAAAAAAAAAAAGACAGCACGGATTCACAAGGCTCGGACCAGAAACAGAGCATCTGTTTTCTCACTTGAAGCAAATGCTGCAACTCGGATACATGAATTCGGGTCTCTTGCCCAGCCTGATATACCGCACATTGATCTTCCTGCCGCAGATAAACTCGGAACCTCCTTCATCCGCAGTCCTGTGAAGATACCTCGAGACACGGTGTCTAAAATATTCGCCATCTTCACTCCCACGAATGTCATCAGGCTCCCACGTTCCAACAATCTCCTCCACGGCAGCTTCTTCAGCCTCATGATCTTCGGATTCCTCGTCTGCCGACGATTCCGACGACGAGCTTTCAACGCCTTCCGGCTGTGGTGCCTCCACGCCTTGCGGGCGGCTGAAATATCCAGACCTGGTTTCGTCAGGTTTGAAAACATCCGAATTGATAGCATCAACCATTTCCTTGAGGTGTCGAAGAGGGCCACTTGCCGCATCTCGAGAATAGGTAAGTGCAGACTTGTCCTTGGAAGCGCTGTGGTAGCCCAGCAAACGCCTGTCACTCAAAGACATGCCATACCTCGCAGCCCATGCCAAAAAGGTTGCTTTCAAAGAATGCGTGCCCTCATCCACATGACTCTTGCTCGGCCTTGCTTTGTCAAGGATCTGTCGCAGCCAATCGCTGGCCTCCCCAGCCTTCAGCGGCGCCTTTGAAAAGCCGCCACCTTTCACTGGCGCAGGCAAGAGCGGACCAGGTTGACCGTCAAGACCAAGTTCTTTCCTCAACTGCATCCATTCCCATTGCCATTCATAGCCCGAAAAATTGGTAAGAAGACCAACCACAGGAAGGAACCTCGTCTTCTTCTCCATCGTCGAATTTGTCTTGCACCTCGTCGCTCTGCCTTCAATGAAACCATTCTCAAACTTGTTCTCGACAAAGTCCAACTCCAACTTATCAATCGACAAACAATCGCTATACCTGCATCTCGTGTAAATACATAGCAAGAAAAAGCCAGCCGCAAGCCTGTCAGCTTGATTGACAGTCGGATTGCAAACGTATTTCTCAAGAGCCTTCACGTCTTCCAGGTGCAGCGGAGGCCTCTGCTTCAACCTCCTCTTAGTGACATAAAATTCTGAAACCGCTCCTTTCACCCTTCCCGAAGGCAAAACATTCTCAACCCCCTTGAGGCCCAAGACATAGTATGCAAAAGCCAGGGACATCGTCAGAGACCTCGGGAAAGTTGCAGCGTGCGCAGTTCCATCTCGAATGAAAGCATACACCTGCTTCTCCTCGACGGAAAGAATTTCATGCCTTTGTCACGCCAATACTTAGCGTACCTGATGAGAGGCCCCGCGCGATTGTGCAACGTCGAAGTCGCCCTGCTTGCCAAGGAGTCCTTGATTGACATACAAAGCGCTGCCTCAAAGCTGCAAGACTCATCATCGTCTTCTTTGACTCTGTCTACAACTTTCCATGCATCAGGGTTGTTCGCAACAAGAGCCGTCCACTTTACCAAGGCCGCTTCTCTCTCTGCTGCCAACTTGGGTTCCCAGCCGATATCCTTGGAGGGCTCCACAAGCCTGTTGCATAAGGTGGCCTGAAAGACTTCGAGGCCACGCTCAGCTGTAGAAGGCTGAAATTTCGGAATAGGTGGCATCAAACCTACAGGCCTAGGGATAGCATGGTTCCACCAGCACAGTTTGTCACAAACTGACTCATGACTGAATTCCCAAGGCATCTTGCGTGCTGACTTGCTCATTCTGCTCCATGATGCATGTACATGCATTTGATAAACATCTGCATCAAACTCGGCACCTTTTAACCCCCCCTTGTCTGCACCACCGGTGACTACAGCCCAGGAAGAGCTCGAAGAAGAGCCAACAGGGGAATCCAATTGCAACCTGCGCTTCACACGGTCGGGCGCAGTCATACGTCACCAAACAACACCAGGTCACTCCAAACGCCAGCACTGTGAGAGACGACGCAAAAGCGAGCGCTTGTAGCACTGCAAAAAGATCCCAGACAAATGGAAAAGCCTCTGCAATTTCCGCAAAGATCTCAGCTGACGAATAATACGTGACCAGTTGACAATAGCTCGATGACCACGACGCCGCAAACAGTTGCCCATGTGCCGGCTGGAAGAAAACAAATTCAACTCACTGTTTGTTGGCACACCATCATGTCCCTTTGGACCCTCGTGCCAAAATGCCACGACACCCTGTTCAACAGTGAGCCATCAACTATTGAAAACGTCGTGACATGTTCAAAAACCCAGCATGTTAAAAATCCTTTGCACGTTCAAACCTCGTTAGTAGACATGACACAAATGTCAAGTAGGTTCAACATGCTGGCAAAACGTGGCGCCACGACTTGGTGTAAACGTGTTTACACTCTTTCGCGTCAGCAACAGCGCTCAACTTATATCGCTATGGCCAAGTCATAAACAGCCATTGGTGAACCAACAGCAAACAACTAACCCGCACCAGGTGCTTAAAGCAACCTGATTATAAAAAAACAAAAACAAAAACAAAAAACGGTGCGTTTTGTTACCCAACTCGAGAACACCTAGCGTCAGCAGAGAGTCGATTGAAACTCTTCCCAATCTCCCCCAGAGTCAGGTTTCGTGGGGTTGCATCAGCTCAATGATTTGTGCGTAGCGGTGTGAGATAATGTGCGGTTTGGAAAGGATTCTGAGGGGGGCGTGAGTTGTTTTTTGCCCCCACATTTACACAATGTTGTTGGAACCCACTAGTAAACTGCAACTTTGAAAAGGACACCATGTGACTACTGTGTACCCGTTTTGGTGTTTGGGGTGCCCATTTTGAGTGAAACCAATGAATCAGGAGGTCATGGCTGGGTGCAAGCAAACCGAGATGCCGTCGACTTGCCGTGTGGGGCAACCTGTGAGGGACCCTGGCCCCCGGAGAACCAGAAGGTCAGCCACAACCCCAAGCTTCCGGGAAGGCGACGGGCGGCAACAGTCGCCAAAAATTGGCGCGGAGGTCCGCCCTTTTGGTTCCGCCTTGGAATTTCTTTGCATTTGGAATTCCGCCTTCTCAATTCTTTCTCACGGGATCTCACGGGTCTTGGGCAGGCCACTTAAATACGAGGCTTTGACCATGATTCAGGTGTTGAAGCATGTGGGCGCTTCTCAAAATAGGGGTCCCCTGTACAGGTCGAGTAGGGCTCCCCTTAAATTGAACAACGAAAAGGGGGCCCATGTTGAGAAACCATGCATACACCGAGCGAGTCTGTTTGCCTTGCCGCTTTGAGGCTGGACTCTAGCTTCGCAGAAGCAGCCATGACAGGAAGTCAGCGACAATCCCGTTCCTTGGATTTCCATGGTTAACAAAGCATTTGTTGGCTAAAAGGTGACAGTTTTCTGGGTCATGTTAGGGGGACAGGGGGACCCGGGTGCCAAACTTCCGGCCAGGTCTCTTTGGCTTGCGTGTCATGCCAGCATAGCTTGCTGTTGGATGTCAGGCCCACATCGGATCGTGGCTCAGGTGTGTGGCCTGGGGTGAATAGATGTTTACGTATGTATATCGAGTTGTAGTCAGACAAAAGGTGTTGTTAGATGATCTAGCGCAGGCGTGTTTTCCAAGATGCGAGCGTGTTCCAGGGTGCGAGCGGGAAGTAGAATGAGCCCATTGAGCACAAGCGCCTGGACCAGTTTCCCTTTACATGTCGCCTGTTTAGTACTGAGTTGTGGACCTGTTCTTAACGTGTTGCCATTGTTTCGAAACATCAGGCAACAACAGGTGAAGATGAACAACACCTCTCTCCCGACATCAGGCGAGTAGTTACACTGGAAACCCTGCTTGCAGACACGGGCCTTTATGCAGAAGTGCTGATGAAAGTCCCCAATGTTTGAATGTATGTTCCATATACTAAGTATGTTTTCCCTTCTTTGTGTACTTGCTAGGTCCTGGGCCGCGCGTTTCTTTCCAGGAAATGACAAAACAGCTGAATTCATTTCTTGCGTAAAAACGGTCAATAAAAAAGCCAATGCAAATTCACCAGCTACTTTGTGTTGATGTTTGTCGCTTGTCGGCAAGGACAAAAGGATGAGAGATTCGACCAGGGATTGTCCACTTCAACTTGACTGGGAGTGTAGGCGGTCCGCCTGTTGGGGTCTGGGAAGAGCACGCTCGATCATGCTTGGCTGCCACTCAATCACAATAGTTACATGTTTTTGCTCCAGGTCCTCATCCATTCATGGAAGAACTCTCTCATCCTATATTCCAGGGAATTTGGGTCTTTTGTGGGCGTTCCCAAAAGCATTGCGATGGCGTTTTCCAGAATCTGTGTATTTCTTGCAACCAGCGTTGGGCTGAGCGCGCAAAACCGCCATTGGTTCGACATGGTGTTGCGGTGGTAGTAAGGCCTGCATAAACCTTTACCGGAATCTTGGGTTCTACCAAAAGTTGACGGGTTTTGGGCGCTTCTATGTCCAAACATAACCTGCGAGGCCCATTTAGAATTAGTTTCCTTTGTGCTAAAGTTTGAGTGGCACACCGAGCCCTGCAATGAAGTCAAGAGACCTAGACACTCAGGTGAGGTCTGTAAGGTTGACCTCCCGTGCGGCTTTCTTTGGGATGGCCTCCCGAACCGCACATTGTGCGGCTTTTGCTGGTTTCTTGTGTTTCTTTTTTTGCAGGGTCTTCCGGGCCGTTCCTTATCCAAGGGCAAGCTGCGGCACGCTACTTGAGGAATGTGGAATCCGCTAGTGTCAACGTATGAAACCTCTACACGAAGTCATTCAGAAATTCATGTGCCGTCTGACACATGGCAGGTGCCGGTGACAGGCCGGGGCTTCCACTCTCGCGCAAGCATGGACATTGGCGTCGAAGCATTTGCTTCCTTGGCACATTCGGATGTGCCAAACATGGTATTGTCGAAGCCGCTTTTGGGGCTGTTAAAACAGCAACCTATCTTCCACTCAGAAGCAACCCGCTTTGAGACAAACGCCTTTGAAGCTGTTTTTTGCTTGCTTCATTGTAGCCATCAGCTTTTGAACTGGGTTCGAAATAGAGTTTTTCAATAGGAATCCACGGGTGTGATGTAGCGCCAGACCACTTCCCTATTGACTCACGCTGCAAGGTCACCCGCTCCTTATCCTCGGCCTCTCCATGCTGCCCGGTGCCCAGGGGCCAACTTTTGTTTCTGTTTTTTTTTTTTCTTGGTGGGTTTGCGAAGTGTCTTTGTGGCAGATTAGTGGCTCCAATTTGTGGGTTTGTGATGAAGTTCCTTCTTCCTTTTACATACCATACAGGTAGGTCTGCGCAAGCAGCGTCCGGCGGAACTACTATGATCATCAAGCGAGGCCACCGTGCAAGCAAGGCAAAATGGGAGCTTGGCTCAGGCTTGCTCATGATGGTAAGGGTGGCGTAGTCTAGGCTGCTTTAAAAACCCGCTCATGTGCACACAGTCGTTGAGGCACACGCACGTAGAGACCGAAAGTTGCCTAGCGCGGCATGATCAAGCGGACCGCCCTATTGCCGAAACAATTCAGCCTGCAGCATTCAAAATCCTGGCCCGCGTGATCCCAATTGGTTGCCGGGAGCGCCCAAGAAAGGCTGTTTGCATTCCTGCCAGGCTGGTTGGCCTGCCATGGAAGATGCAATGGTGTGTTTTTTCTTATATTTCCGCTGCTATGATCCCAACAAACAGAAGTAGGCGACCTGAATGTGTTTGCACGAAGTGTCTGGGTTTTGCGCGTCTTTAATTTCTCGCAGGAGAACGAATACGGATCCCTGCATGCCTTCTCAGAAAAACACCCCTGTTGATTTCAATGTTCAGCCAGCCTTCACCCCCAGAGAACAGGGTTTCTTTTGGGGGGGGGCCTGCAATTTCCCAAGACGCAGAAAGTTGACCCGAACAGATACAGCTGTTTATGCGTACCATGCTTACAAGAACCTAGCGAAAACAGCGGGTACATATTGTCCAGCCATGGCGTTGACTAAAGGAACCAAAGTGTTCCTTGGCTCTATGCTGCTGGTGTGTTGCTGGCTGAGCAGCGTGTCGTTGCATGTGGCAGATGGCCCGGCCAAAAGTGACAGGTCAAAGGTCCTTGGGCCAGTGGTCCTTGACTTAAAGCTCGCATTGTATCACAGCCGCCTGCCTGCAGGTCAAATAGATGTTTCTGACCATTTGCGCACTGGTTTGCCCATCGAGCTCCCAAAGGAGAATGTGTTGCAAGCTGTGGTTTGCATAGCGAAGGCGGCCTTTTTGGTGGCCGTGGTGATGTGGCTTGTTGGCTTTCATTGCTTTTCGCCTGAGGGCGGACGCGGACTGGAACTCAGGCAGCGTGCAGCGACTGAGGCGCAGCCAAGTACTGAGCCGACGGAGTGTGATCTGGAAATGGGGCTGGCTCCGCCAACCCCCTCTGATGCTGACCCCGAAGACGAAGCGGAAGAAAGTGAGTGTTGGGGCGAAAGCGAGGAGGAGTCGGAAGATGAGGATGAGGAAGAACCACGCGTCAGCAATGACTGCCGGGACGGGTTGATTCTGCAAGCCGCAACGATGGGCTTGCGCATTAGGCACTGCACCGCCCCAGAAGTTCATGCTGAAGCAGGCCGTGTTGCCCTTGCCCGCTTGGACAAGAGCGGTGAGCAAGGGCATGCGCTTGACGAATCCGATGCGGCCTCCCTCTTGGACCCGGAGGTCATGGTTGCCGCCGTCAAAATCATTGGGGGCTTGATGATGTCCAAGATATGCCATGGCAAAGGCCACCGGGGAATGGCGTTTGCAGGTGGAGTGTGAGCCACAGGCAAAACCTACGAAGACGAAGACCAGATTAATTACTTAACATCTTCAAACTGCGCAACATCCAACGTACTCAGTTGATATACAACTATAGGTCAAATTATAGTCGTTCTATTTTTTGCAAAGGTGCATCACGCAAGCGTTCCATTTATGGTTTCGGATAGGGGGCTGCAAGAAAATGAAGCCCTTAGACAGACAAGCATCATGAAATCAACAGTTGCGATTTTCGAGCTGGAGCCATAGAAGTGTACTTCGCCTCGCGTACTACACTTGTACTGTATAGCCGCGATGTTTTGATTTGGAGCTGCGGAAGTGCGCTTCACGCACTACACTTGTACTGCAAAGTGGCGATTGTTGAGCCTGAGCTGCGAAAATATACCTCGCAAGCCACTTTGTACTGCAAGGTTGCGTAAATATTGCGGGAATGTGGAAGCGCTGTAAAACGAGAACGGCCTCCCCAAAACGGATAGCTATAAAAGAACTCCTAAGTCCAATCGAGAGGGTTTCGTCAATCCCTCATGTGTCTGAAAATTATCAAACTATAAAAGATGCCGAATGTGGAAGACCAGCGCAGAGAGAAAGATAAAATAACTTTCGAGCTGGGCCGGCCATGTTTTCCTTGAATTGGCAGATGACCCTGCAGGTGTTCTGATTTCTGGCCTTGGCGCTTTGCAGCGGAGCGGTGGGGGGCAGGCTGCTTGGTCGGCAGCACGGCGTGCCGCTCTTGCCGAAGGTGCCCAATTTGTGCTACTGCAGCCTTTGGACAGTTGTGCGCGAAGGTGGTGGGAAGGATGGGGGTTCAAACCTGTCGCAGACGCCCTCCGGCTCCGCCGTCATCAGCGCCACAAATGTGACGTTTCCAGGCTGACCCACCAGCGCTTGACGGCACAACTTTGCCAGAAGATCACGGACAATGGCGCTGACATAGAAGTTGCTGATCTCATCGCGGTCCTTCAGGAGAGTTTTTCCGGGGTAACGCCACCCTTCATTCTATGGCTTCATCGCACACCTCTTTCCAGCATGTGACGCGGGTTTTTGGCAATGCACAATGCGGCACAATGTGGCAGCATGTGCGTTTGCACGCAAAGTTGGCAGTGCGTGAGTCTGAGCTCAGCTTTGGAGCCACTTTGGGATTGGCGAGCACGGGCAGCAAGGCCCGTGCCTTCAATGACGGTGCGGTCAGGCATCACACTGTTTCACACTCATCGTGGCTGTTGCGTGAAAGAAGCATATGACTTGTACCTATATCAGTGCCGCTTGTCCTTGGGTGTCATGCTGATCTTTGTGCATGCTCGATTGCCAATCTTCCCCACGTTGCCCTTTGGAATCCCTTTGACCTTTTCTCGTTTTCACATTGGGGTTCACATGTACGGTCAGGGCAACCCCAGGGTTTATTCCCCTTTCTATTGAGGCCCGGCTAGGTTTGGCTTGGAGCCTTGAAGAGTGCCCTTGGGCAAGCTTCTATAAGCTTCTAAATTATGTGCAGGTCCTTTGGCTGCAAGTGCCGGTCGGTACGCAGAGTCACTCGGAGTCTGCTGGACCACTACTCTGAAAAGTCATGCAAGTAGGGCTCCCCTTAAATTGAACAACGAAAAGGGGGCCCATGCTGAGAAACCATGCATGCACCGAGCGAGTCTGTTTGCCTTGCCGCTTTGAGGCTGGACCTTTGGAGATCAACAGAGGAGAACTTGAGAGAGCTTCGCAGAAGCAGCCATGACAGGAAGTCAGCGACAATCCCGTCCCTTGGATTTCCATGGGTGGTTAAACAAGCAGCAGTTGGCCATAAGGTGACAGTTCCCGGGTCATATTAGGGGAAAGGGGGACCCAGGTGCCAAACTTTCCGGGGGTTTGGGCTCTTTGGCTTGGGTCTCAGGTGTGTGGCCTTGGGCGAAGAGATGTTTACCTATGCATGTCAAGTCGTAGTCAGACAAACAATTTTAATAGATCACCTAATGCGAGCGTGTTTTGCAGGATGCGAGGTTTCCAGGGTGCGAGCGGAAATTAACATAACCCCACTGAGCACAAGCGCTCGGACCAGTCTCCCTTTACATATTTCCTGTTTAGTACTTGAGTTGTTGACTTGCTTTTAGTAGATGGCACTCCTTGCTTAGTCAAGACCTCCAACTGGCAGCGGCTGCCTTTTTGTTAGTCTGAACTCGCAGTTTGAAAAGGGGTACGCACTTTCCATTTCTGTTGACACATTGTGGCTCTTAACGTGTTGCTTTTGTTTCGAAACATCAGGCAACAACAGGTGAAGATGAACAACACCTCTCTCTCGACATCAGGCGAGTAGCTACACTGGGAGATGGCTGCACCCCTGCGACCCCCTCCGTGGACGAAAGATATCCCGCCAAAGGGAGGTGTTCTGGTTCTCCAAGCAAAAGGGACCTCGCCAACACCCAGTTCTTCTCATCAGGAGTGCGCGGTTGTGGTTGGAGCCCGGATCCGGGCCTTCGACAGCGAGGTGCTAAACGCCCAGGTAGGAAGGACCAGAGGGTTGTGTTTTAGCCAAGGTCCACAAGGTTACCTACCATTATCTCGTTCTTACACTGACAACCCTGCTTGCAGACACGGGTCTTTATGCAGAAGTGCTGATGAAAGTCCCCAATGTTTGAATGTATGTTCCATATGCTAAGTATGACTTCCCTTCTTTGTGTACTTGCTAGGTCCTGGGCCGTGCGTTTCTTTCCAGGAAATGACAAAACAGCTGAATTCATTTCTTGCGTAAAAAAGCCAATGCAAATTCACCAGCTACTTTGTGTTGATGTTTCTTGCTTGTCGGCAAGGACAAAAGGATGAGAGATTCGACCAGGGATTGTCCACTTCAACTTGACTGGGAGTGTAGGCGGTCCGCCTGTTGGGGTCTGGGAAGAGCACGCTCGATCATTTCAGAAAGAAGGGGTTCGTTTGAACCTGTTGAAACGACCTGTCTCATTTACAAAAGGGCCTGCATGCTTGCCTGGCACTGAATCACGATAATTACATGTTTTGCTCCAGGTCCTCATCCCTTCATGGAAGAACTCCCTCATCTTATATTCTAGGGAATTTGGGTCTTTCGTGGGCGTTCCCAAAAGCATTGCGATGGCATTTTCACTGTTGGCTCGTCTCTTCAGTCTCCAAGAAACGTGTGATCGCAAGTGGCCGCTTGAGGAACAAAAAGCAGTCCTGGCCCTTTCCGGATCGAATTTGCGCAGGTCGGGAGTCGGGAGGCAAACCCGGCGGGCTTGCTGAGCGCCCAGGCTTGGGACTGAAGCTCCAGACGGTGGTTCTGAGTTTCTCAAATGGTGTAGCCGTGGATGATCCATTTGTGCATATATATATATATATATCAGGGAAAACCAAGGGTCTCTTTTGCAATCAGTGCTCAAGGGCCAAACATATCGAAGAAAGACAGAAGTGACACACAACAAGCAAGCACATTACAGTCATAGCTTCTGGACACGCTCTTAATGAATATCCTGCTTGTGGCCGCGGCTTAAGGCGTACTACAGCAAAGGCTCGTTCTGTTTTGTTTGGGCCGCTTGTTGATGATTGAGACGGGCAGTGGCTCACGTACTTTCAAACCGCCTAGAAGCCAGGCACAAATACGCTGGAATTGGGTCTGACAGCAACGCTACCCCGAACTTCCTTAGGGTCCTTCTCGCTTTAGCGACGCTGACCTATACAAGAGAAATGTTCTTGTAACCCTCGGAAGGTGGATGTCAGCGACTACAAAGCCGGCAAAGCAAGCTGTTGCAGGTGGCCCAGCATCATGTCGCTTCATTTGGGCAACCTATAAGCGCTGCAAGGGGTGTGTTTCTCCAGCTCAGATCAATGGTCAGGCGGCCAGGTTCCTGGATTGAGGGTGTTCAAAAAATTGACTACGAGCCAGTTGTGCTTACTTCTGGATTCCAAGGGAAAGGCGCAGTGTGGCTCAATGCGCCGTGCGCTAAGCTTGCTCGATCTCCTGTTGTGGCCCTGCTTGTGGCGCTATGTCGTCTAGTCAAGAGCTTCAGTCCTCACAATGCAATGCATGGGGATTTGCGGGATGTGAGGTTCCTCCACAAAAGCCACTTGAAGGGGTGCTGCCCATCAAGGGGTGACCATGTGCAATTCGGAGTCGGCAGACAAGAAAGGGCTGGCCGCAGAGAACGCGCGCATTGTCCGCAGCGTGTCGCGGGAGAAGCCCAGCTATTTTGGAGTGATAAAGAGATACAACCCGTACAGAGGCTTTGGCTTCTCCTCGGAAGCATTTCCTGAGCAAGATGTGTTTGTGTTTCATTCCAAGCTTCAGGGATGCTTTGGCCCCGTGGGTGGGCAGTGCCAGTTCAACGTTTGCATGACAGAGAAGGGCCCTTCCGCAGAGAAGGTTGTACTATTGGGTGCTGCGCGCAGCGTTCTCCAGCAGATGCAGTGGATGGGCATGTGTGGCTGGGGCCATGGACGGGGCAAAGCCTTCAGAGGATTCGCTGAGGCCACTGAGGCCACCGGCCCGTGTGATATAGGTGTGCTCGGGCCAGAGCACGTCGCTGGCAGGCCTGGAAAGAATCGGTTGCACTCCAGGCCGTCTCTGTCGACTACCCCAACCTCACGAAGATCCTGTCGCCCTGGGCATAAACAATTCGAGCAGACGTTCCCCGGACATTCTCTGACTTGGGCCAGACAAACGAAGAGCGACTCTACCAACCACCGGCCAGACGTCGGCTACTGCCAGGGAATGAAGTACCTGGCCGGATTCTGTTTGCTTGTGTCCCGGGACAAGCTGGAGACATTGTTTTTTTTGTGTGTGTTTTTTGTGAACCTGATGGACCTTGGCTTCGTTCGATTTTTTCTGATGGCATGCCGGCACTGCACAGCTACTTGGACGAGCTGCAGCGTTTGTTGTCAGAGCAACTGCCCCAGCTGAGTCAACACTTTGAAAGGCTCGGTGTGCCACTGAGCGCCTTTGCGATCCAGTGGTTCATGACGGCCTTCACAAATTCTACATCAATGCTCCTTTGGGACCTCATTGTGGCAGAAGGGCTGCCAGCTATTTTGCGGATCGCCATGGCTCTGCTTCACGCCCGCGAGCCTTTCTTGCTGTTTGCCAGCATGGACGGCATTTTGCAGGACCTGCAGGCCACTTACCTGCAGCTGGCGGTCTTTACGCAGCTCGGCGCGTCTGACCAGCAGGAACGTAGCTGGTACAGCATGTTTGTCGACAGCGTGGCCCAAGTGTGGCATAGGGGCTGCAAGTCTGACATGGCAAGTTCCATGCTTTGATGTTCGGATTTGGCCGCGTGCCGAGGAGTACACAAGGTGTGTTAGTTGTTTTGGTCTTGTTGGCGCAACGTCAACAGTTTCCTAGCAGAACGCTTATTGAGGCGCAAAGGTGCTCGACAAAATCCTTTTGGTGCCCACTCTTGTGTTGTGTACGTGTGTTTTGTTTGCGCTGCTTGATCTTCAACTTTCAGTGGCATATGGGTTGAAACAATGTTGACAGGGATGAAGCAGTGAACATGGCTGTTGAAAGACAAGCAATGCTTTAGCGCTAGACTCTTGTCGCTTGCGGTTGAGCTCGTCAGAACTTATCTCCGCTGTGGGCACCGGACGCTTTGTATACATGGCCAGTTGCACCTTGAGCTTTCAGCGTGCGCGGACGCCTCGGCCATCCTCAGCCTAGTCAAGGAAGTGCAGCAGGGGTTGTGGTGGGATGCATCGCGGTGTGTGTTTCCCTGCTTTCATTTTCTACATCAATTCAAGCGCTGGGCAGACGAGATGGTGCTTAGATGAGTAAAGTTGGCTGGCCGTTTGTAAAGCACAGCAATTTGGGCAAGCAAGCCGTTGTTTCTTTTTTCAATCGGTGTCTTGCATTCAGCATCTTTTCTGAGCTGATATGACGGATTCCCCAAGTGGTTTTGGGTAGACCTGCCAAATACCAGGTGTTGATTGTGAGTGGCTGGTTTCTTGGATTCTGCCGAGTAATCATCGAATTCTGGCCCTTCATCGAATAGCCGTTGCTTCGGAGTCGTTTGCCCAAACGGGCACCGTTGCGGCCTAGAATGACCGCGCTGGTTTGATTTCACACGAATGGTGCAGGCCCTTGGCCTGGCGCCTCATCTGCTTTCAGTACATTTTCGAATGTACCAATGGCTCACACAGTTTTGCCTGGAATTTGTGGAAACATTTGTACACATGTGTGCCATGGTCAAAGGACCCCTTCTCTTGGGGTTGGTAGAGATGGCCACCAACGTCTTATTAGGCATTTTAGATCATTTTAGACAGCCCTTGTAACTTTTAGTGAGGGACTGGCCATGTTTCATTCTGACATCAGGCGTTTTGATGGTGGTACGTGCTTTTTCTCTTGGGATGCGTGAGCATGTTCCTGGTGAAGTAAACGACGTGTTCTTGGCGCGTGGGCATGATCCAGGTCGAGTAATTGGCGTGTATTTCCCTGGGGCGCGTGAGCACGTTCCTGGTCAATCAAATAAATGGCGTGTTCTTCCTTGGGACGCTTGAGCATGTTCCTGGGCGTTCCTGGTCAAGTAAGCGTCAAGTTCTGCCTTGGGCCGCGTAGGCATGGTCCCGTGCTTCCCCTTGGACCCTACTGGCAAAAGTTCTCAAGGGCCAAACATTTCGAAGAAGAACAGAAGTAAGACATGGCAAGCAATCGCTTTATGGTCATAGCTTGTGGACACGCCACTAATGTATATTCAATTGTGGAGGCTTCCTGCTTGTGGCCGCGGCTTAAGGCGTAATACAACAAAGACTCGTTCTGTTCTCTTTGTTTGGGCCGTGTCTTGATGGTTGGGACGGGCAGTGGCTCATGTGCTTTCAAGCCGAGCTATGCTACCCCAAGCTTCCCTTTTACTATAACAACTTCTGCATTAGTTCTGGTCTTGTGACCCTCGCAATATTGGTTTCAGCAACAACAGAGCCGGCAAAGAGAGCTATTGCAGGTGGCCTAGCATCATGTCGCTTCATTTGGGCAACTTAAGCACTGCAAGGGGTGTGTTTGTCTAGCTCAGATCCAGGGCCAGGTTCCAAGACTTGACTACGAGGTAGTTGTACTTAGCTGGGGGTTGTTTGGGCAGACCCTGGAGGCCGCCAAACCCAACGCCAAGGAGAAGCCTCCGGGCATTGACCAAGCGGGCACGGGAGGCTGAGGAAAGGGTGTGGGATGAGGCACATGCTGACAACAAAATGTTGGGGGGATGTGCTTCCGCTTGTCCTTAGGCCTTAGGTGTGTGTGTGTGTGTGCATGTTTTGTTTTCGGAGAAGATGCTGCATCGTACCCTTTTGAGGTGCTGTATCGTACCCTTTTGGGGTTGTAAAGGTACCCTCAAGCAAAGAAACAAGCAAACAAACAAAACGGTGTGCGTTTGTGTGGGGAGATGATACACTTTTGGGGGTTTCTTGAGAGAAAACTAACTCATGCATGAACTGGAAGAGGGGGGATACCAGGCCCCAGAACAGGTTTTTTCCCCCCATATTGGCTCAAGGGATGTAAATATGGAGGGTAGTCTTTGCTGCTTTTGCCACTTGCGGGTGGGGATGGTTGTGGATTGTGTGCGTGAGAGCAGGTAGGATCCCTCCCAAATGTTGGTGTTGTTTTGTTGCTTTCCTTTTCATGTGACATGTGCCACACATGCACAAACCTCGCCATACTTTTTTCCTTAACTGCTTTTTTGACCCTTATTTCTTGGTTCGACCTATTGCATGGGGCCAAGGCTTGATTGTGCCTCCCCAGGTTGCCCATTTTCGGAACATTTTGGAACGATGGCCAGAATGAGGCTGAGGGAGAAGGCGCAAACAGATCCAACCACAAACAGTGGGTGACTCGCCCCAAGTGGCGGCAGGGCGAGACTGGCAAGCCCGGCAAAGGGTTGGTGAAGGCGGAGAAGGCGCACTTGGTGATTCGACCACCTGTTTAAACATGTGTTTCTGTTTGTGTGTGTTACCGTTTTCAACTTGGTTTGAAGGGAAACCAAAGGAATGCCACCATCGTCGCTGACACATACCCATGTGGCCAATCACCTTTGTAGGTCAACGCCTCCGCCAGGACTCACATCCTGCGAGAGCTCGACTTTTCGGTGCGAGGCTCAGGAAGCGTGTGCGAGGGTGGCAACAGCAAAAGTCGCACAGTTGAGCTTCCCAGTCGCATCTTTGGACGCCACTGGCAAGCTGAGAGGGCTGTTGTTGGCAGGCATTCCTGAGTCACGAGCAACAGATGTCAGGGTCAAGGGAACATATCATGTGGGTGGCTGGCTTCCGTAAGCAGCACTTGCGTCAT